TCGTTAGACTTGTTGATGACCACTGCCATCCATCAGCCACTGCTTGAGCCATCAAGTCAGGCTTCTCCTGGTAACTGGCATCGACCCATCTCGGCTGCAAATTGCGCCCGAAACAACCTGCCTGCACTAGATCGTATCCTGTCGCATGGGCCACCTCCATCGCAGCAGCGACCGCGAACTGTCCCCACAGTCTAGATAGAAGCGCCCAAACCACTGCGACATCGCTGTGATCATCAGGAGCCATGTCTAAGCACGTGTTCGCCAAGATACGGCGTGTGATCCAAGTCGGGCCCTCTCGAAGCGGCCCTGTAATGCGCTCAACTGGGAGAGCAGGCGTGACCGTGTAGATGAAGTGCCGCATCTTCTGTCCGCGGTCTAGTAATTTGAGCAACACTGGTCGGTGAGGACGCTTGCTCCAAAGCGCGTCGGCTTCCACGCCCTGAAACCCTCGCAGAGCAGCATCGTTCAACGCGAAGGAATCGATGGCCGGCACTCCTGTGCCACCACGACATGCGACCTGCTTCGGCACTGCCATGGTGACATTGGCCAACCTTGGGGGCCCTGAGCTCTCAAGTTCCGACGCAGACATGTTCCAGTCAGCACCAGCAATGACAGGAGCCTGGATCTGAGCGAATAGAAGTCCCATGCGAGAGAGGATGTCGCTGTTCACCCCCGTCACGCCGATGCCATCCTTGAGGCGCGCATTGATCACATGCAGCGGCGGCCAGCCTGGCAGATCGATAAGCACGTGCTGGCAGCGACGAGGGAAGACCACGTGATCATGGTGAACAGGTGCCCTAAGCCCAAGATCATTGCGAACCAAAACGGCAACACCAGCAGAGCAGGAGTTGCGAACTGTGCTTGCTCGACTGGGGCGGCTGGGAACTGCCATCATCTTCCATCCTCGAGCATGCGTCCATGAGAACAAAGATTCCAGATTGTCTTCACAAAACCATATTTCCTGCAGCAGAAGGATATGGGCAGAGGACTTCTGAATCTTCCCTTTCACAGTCTGCTTGCCACCGTTGCCGTTGAAGCACTCCACGACATAGTGACCAGGAGCCTGAGCAGGAGAGGGCAGCTTCGTCTTTCCCTGGGCGATCGGCAATCCAGAGACACGAATAGGTGCATACCCTTGCTGCCCCAGCTCGGACGTCCATCGCACAGGGGCATCAGGAACAACGTTGTTTTTTTCGCAAGTTCTCTGAAGGCCCCTTGAAAGCTGGAAAAATCATTGGCTTTGCCATGCTCAAAGAGATCCTTGAGCTCTGATTCCGATAGCTCGTCGCATGTTCTCTTGAAGGCGGAGTCCGATGCGCGAGCACCGTGAATTTCAGGAGGCACTTCATCATGATCAGCGGGAGTAGCAGAAGTGCTCTTCGGTGTAGCGACCGCACCTGCCTTGATCTTCTGCATGGTGACCTCCTTGAGCGTTGACCACATGTCGGAGTCGAGGAAGGTCTTGAGCTCTTCCGTCTGAACGTCCTCAGCGGAGACGGAGAAGCCGAACTCGGTCTCCATGGCTGCATCAGCACCCTTGTCGGCTGCAATCGCGGCTGCCGACTGCTTGTGCTCCGCCTCGAGCGCTGACCTCAGCCTGCTTCGCTGCCAGGTGAGTCCTGCGCGCCTCGACCGACTCTTGAAGCTCTTTGAGTTGTTGCTTCTCTTTTTCAGCAAGCTCCTTTTCGAGGCGGTCCCTTTGAATCTTGGCCTTGTGCAGGTCCTGAGCAACCCTGCGGTGGGCGATCTCGAGCGTGCGCAAGGATTTCTGCCGTTCCTTGATCTCACGCACCTTCTCAATGGTGGCCTGCCTGACTGGATCATCTGCATCGTTGCCAGGAAGGTTCTTGAGCATGGTTTCGTACGTCGCCAGCTGCACCGCCAGCTTCTCACGCTTGGTTTTGTCATCATCATCTTCGGAAATCGGTTCCTTGTTGGCTGCCGCTGCCGGCGGTGAAGAACTCCACGGCGGCGGCTTGGCAGAATTTGGGCTGCTCCCGACGGTAAGGGTCCGCAGCATCTTCTCCAGCTCAGCCAACTTCTTGGATGTCGCATCATTTTTGTCATTCGTATCCTTCTTGTTGCCCTTCTGCGGGGAGCTCTCGCCGTTGACAATCGCAGAGTGATGGTCCCAAACAAGCTTCCTGATCCGCATCGGAGCTTCATTCCCACACTGGCAGCGGATCCTCGATGCCCAATTCGCCGAGGCAACGCAGCGTCCGCATCCCCATGTCGGCCGCCTCGGCCCACGGAGCACCGCAGGAGGAGGCGGGGAAGGCACCATGGCGGCGGCGCCTTGGTCGTTGGTTACTCCTCTGCCTCCAGACGGAGGCGAACACGTGTACAAGCCAAAAGGCTCGCTGCAGCGTCGCCGTTCTGAATCCAGCTGCAGCAAGCGCAAACCTGCGCCAGAACGGCTTAAGCCAAAATGGCTACGGAGGAGGAGGAGGAGGAAGAGGAGGAGGAGGAGGAGGACGAGGAGGAGGAGGAGGATGAGGAGGAGGAGGCCCCGGCCGAGGAATACTCTGGCAATGTCCCAGCGAGGTCGGGCCAGCGATGCCCGGAGCTCCCGTGCGCGGCCTCGGGGCCCCCCCGAGGCCGCGCCAAGAGGGTGGCACGCCCCACGGCCTCAGGCCAAGAGCGCGTCAAGATTCGAAGGTCGCTGGGGGAGCAGCGTTGTTTCCAGGGCCAGATCCCCGTGCGCTCGCCGGGCGCGCTTGATCGGTCAACAGCAATCCTTACAGCCGCCCTTCGCGAGAAGCTCTGATCTCAGGTTTGCTCTTGCCGACGATTGGGCTACTCGGGCTTGCTCTTGCCCTACATCAGCATTGCCCTATCCCCCGTCGCCCCAGAAGCACAGGTCGCCTTCGCTGCCCCTCAGCGAGCTTCAAGTCAAGATGGCCCACGTTGGTCCCAAGACGGCCCAAGAAGCGCCCAAGACGCAATAGGAGGGTTCCAAGAGGATTTCGAGAGGCCCCGAAGAGACACAGATCATTGATTTTGATTTGGTTTCGGACGATTTGGGCGGGTATCCTTTTTTCTAGCTGCCGACCGCCATGGACGGCCGAAGAGGCCACAAGATCGCTCCAAGACAGCCCAAAAAGCTTCCAAGGGGGCCCCCAAATCCCACCAGCCCTCTGGGCGTCGGTGGTTTAACGAGTTTCCTCTTCCACCCCTCCCTCTTTCCCTTCGGGGAGGGGTTTACCCCTCCCCCTACCCCCTCCCCACTGACCTGGACAGGAGGGGCGGGAAGCGGTCAGAGCGTCCAAAACGGCCTCGGCGAGGAAGCCAAAAACATTGATTTTACTATGGTTTTGGCCCCATTTTGGCCTTCTCAGGGGGCAACGCTAATTAAGGCTCCCCTCTTCTTTGATCGATTTCCTCCACGATGGCCGCAAGAGGCCCCCAGGATGCCCCAAGAGGCCGCAGGATGGCCCCAAGATGGCCCCAAGAGGCCCCCCAAGAGGCCCCCAGGAGGCCCCCAAGAGACCCCCAAGAGGCCCCAAGATGGCCCCAAGAGGCCCCAAGAAGCCCCCAGGAGGCCCCAAAGAGGATCCCGAACGGCCCACAGAGGCCCCCCCGAGGCACCCAAGATGCCGAAAAGCCCCTCAGGACGACCCTCTACTCGCCTGGGCGTCGTTTCTGGACGGGCTGGTGGGGATACGCGAAGCGTCTAGAATTGCCTAAGATGGTCCTGAGACGGCCCACGAGGCCTCCCAGACGGCCCCAGAATAGCCCCCAAAAGGGGCCCAGAGGGGAGCCCGAACAGACATGTCGAGGTATCGGCCCAAGAGGCGCACAGGAAGCACCCAGAGGCCCCCAAGAGCCCCCCAAGAGGCCCCCAAGAGGCCCACGAGAGGTCCCTAAGGAGGCTCCCAAGACTCCCAACAGGCCCCCAGGAAGCCCCAAGAGGTCCCCATGAAGCCCCCAGAGGCTCTCCAGAGGCCTCAAAACTGCTCCCCAGAGGATCTCTCCGAAAAGACCCTAAGAAGCATCCATGAGGACTTCGAACCACAACCCAAGTCCGTCTCGAACTTCTTCTGGAGCTCTCTTTTGTCATCTTAGCGCCATCTGGGGAAATCGATCGGCTCTCTTCGACCGGGTGCGAGCCACATCTCCAAAGACCTCCTCGAAGACCGTCCTGCCTGCCCCACCGTTCCCTTTGGGCACGAGCACACAGGCACGCAGCAACAGCGACGCGAAATGGGCCGGCGGAGTGAGCGAAGCGATTACATAAAACTTTCTTTTCTCGCCCTACGACGCGTGTTGCTTGCCACACAGCAAGAATGTGTACGTTTCCCTTTAATCGGAACGTCGTCGTCAACATGGAGCTCCCGCTGCAACGTGTGCCTCATTTTAGGATCGGCGTTGTGCCCCCGTCGTTCAGAATGGTTCTTTCGCCCCAGCGCGGGCCAACTTGTTTCTGGAATCAAGTCCTTCCTCGTCTTTGTCTCCCCGCTCATGTCCCCCTCCTCCGCCTGCCCCTGGTCCTCCTGCTCATCCAGCTCCTACCATTCCTGCCCTTGCTGCTGCTGTTCCTCCTCGTCCTCCTCCATCCTGATCCTCCTCCTCCTCCTCCTCCTCCTCCTCCTCCTGCTCATCCTCCTCCTCCTGCTCATCCTCCCTCCAACTCATCCGCAAGCTCCTCCTCCTCCTCCTCCTCCTCCTTCTCCCCCTCCTCCTCTTCCTCTTCCTCCTTCTCCTCTTTCTCCTTCTCCTTCTCCTCCTCCTCTTCCTCCTCTAACGTACACAACTACCCGTTCCTGATTGCACATAATACCATGGGGTGGGTCCGCTTGGGTTACAGGCCCACTGTGAAACCCGTCAAAGGATAAACAAAACATCAGCGCAATGGGAAGGGATGGGTTGGAAGCTTCGGAAATTGTGCATGGCGCGACGGCACTTAGCTTGATACCTGCCTCTGTCCTCCCCCCCTGCTCCTCCTTCTCCTCCTCCCCCTCCTCCTCCTCCTCCTCCCGCCCAACATATAGGCTCGCGTCCTAGCCACGTAGCCCCACCTCTTGGTTGACGTTGACATCTTGTGAGGCGTCAGGTCAGGCTCTTTGAGGGTATCCACGTGGACAATCGAATAGCCTGAAGGGGGCCAAGAAGAGGCAGGAGGAGGCAGCTCGAGCAGGCTGCGTCAGGGCGAGAAGGCGGCTGGAGCATGAGTAACGGCTTCTTCTCCTACTGGTCGCCCCTGCGGGGGATGATCAGAATAGTTAGGATATCGAAAAATCAGCAGCTGGCCAGGGGGCGAGGTAGGCCCATGCGATCCCCTGAGGGTATGGGGAGGAGGAGGAACCACGGGACGGCAGGACGACCCTGCAACTAAAAGCGGAGGAAAGTAGGTTAGTGCAGCCGCTGGCGACTGGCAGGCTGGGTCGAGTGGCCCACGGCCGCCATGGACGCCGACCACCTCGGCTTGCACGGCCTCGTGCGGACCTAGGGCGGCCTGTGCCGAGGTCGACGCACCCACTGTACTAGCATGCTGGGGCGACACCGATTCGAGGCGAGGGGCTGTGTTTCGCCCGCTTTCGAGCCGGGCGCCCCCCTGTCGGGAGCGGCCAAGAGGGGGATGTCCAAGAGGGGGGGGGTGCAAATCATGACCGGCGGCATGTGCGCGGCCCAGCGGGGGGACCAGGGATATAATAAAATAAGAAGAGGCCCCATGAAATCTGGGGAAATATCATGGCCCACGCCATGATATCCACCCCCCCCCCCTAGTCATCACCCCCCTCTTTGCCGCCCCCGATTCGTTAGTGCCGAATCGGGCGGGCAGGCGCCAGGGAGCCGCCGCGGGGCGACACCGCACGCCAAAAAAGCGGGCAGACCCAAGCGAGAGGCAGCAGGGGCCGCAGGCGCCGGGCCGTGCCGAGCGGCAGGGAGGGACCCCGCAGTCATGTGGGAGAGGGCCGCCGGCGCGTGCAGCAAGGCGATTCAGCACTTGTGCACCTGGGTGGTGCAGGTTTTCGGTGGCGGGGCGCAGACCGGCGGTGCGCCGCCAGAAGCGGCAGCGGACAGCTGGCCTCCCCCTGGAAGCCTCGACGTCGTCGCTCCGTCGGCGGCCAGTGCGGTCGGACTGCATCCTGGCCCCCCAGGAGGGAACGGAAGGGGCGGAGGAGGAAGAGGAGGCGGAAGCTGGTGGAGGAGAAGAAGGAGGAGGAAGAGAAGAGGGTGGAGGTGGAGGAGGGTGAAGAGGAGGGGGGAGGAGGAAGAGGAGGAAGAGGTGGATGAGGAGGAGGAGGAAGAGGAAGGAAGAGGAGGAAGAGGAAGAGGGAGGAAGAGGAGGAGAGAGAGGGAGGATTTGATGATGAGGAGAGGAGGAAGAGGAGGAGGAGGAGAAACAGAAAGGGAAGGGAGGATGAGAGGAGAGGGGAGGAGGGGATGGGGAGGAGGACAGGGGGAGGGGAGGAGGAGGAGGGGAGGAGGAGGAGGGGGGGGGGCGGGCGGGAGGACGAGGGGGAGAGAGAGCTTCGCAAGTATGAGCGCTGAGCGGCAGGCAGGCGCGTTGCTCGTCCAGGTGGTTACTGTTTGTGTCTCTGTGTGTGTCTTTGTGTGTGTGTCTCTGTGTGTGTCTCTCTGTGTGTGTCTCTGTGTGCGTCCGTGTGTGTCTCTGTGTGTGTGTGTGTTTCTGTGTGTGTGTGTGTTCCTGTCTTCCCTGCACCACACCGCGAACCGGGGAGACCCAGCGCCCACGCAGCTGGCAACTGCTTTTATGCGCTGGCTGCCGGCTCAGTGCCCCGCGCGCGCAGGCGGCATCCCGACGGGCCTGCCGCACTCGTCACACGGGGGGGAGGAGGAGGAGGAGGAGGAGGAGGAGGAGGAGGAGGAGGAGGAGGAGGAGGAGGAGGACCAGTGTAGACCCAATAACCATCAACGACGTTGGAATGAACCCTCCCCCCGAACTCCTTCTTCATGGGCCTCTACAAGGCTTCATTACCGCTGCGGGAACTGCCCCATTGGAAGAGAACCGCTTGAAGACCCTGCAAACTGCTAAGACATTGATTTCTGGATTCCAGCGCCACGGATCAACCTGACGGCTGCGTCTTGACGACCCTGAATCGTACCAAAACACCATTCCTGGGATATCAACAACACGAATCAACGTTCTTGACGACCCTGAATCGCACCAACACGCCATTCCTCGGATGGCAACGGCGCGAATCAACGTAGCTGTTGCGCCCTCATCTTCCTGAACCCGTCCGAAACACCATTTCTGGCACGCTGATTATGGGATTGGGTGATTTGTGTTGCGAATTTTCAAACCGCTTAATCGATTGCGCGCGGCGCTAAAGCGAGCGCCACATTTTGACAACAGCCCGCCCTCAATCCGTGAAGCTCTTGCATGAAAAAACATTGTGCGCGGCGCTACGGCGAGAGCGACATGTTGACAACCACTTGCCCTCAATATGTGAATCTCTTGCTGTTTAAATATACGCTATGCTTAACAACAAATATGTGAAGCTCTTGCTGTTTAAATATGTGAAGCTCTTGCTGTTTATATATATATATGCATTTTTAAATATATGTGCATACATATATATATATATATATATATATAACAAAAAACGGATGTGCGCGGCGCTACGGCAAGAGCCACATGTTGAACACGGACGTGCGCGGCGCTGCGGCAGGAGCCACGTGTCGAAAACGCCCCGCCCCCCATCTGCGAAGCTGTCGCCCACGTTGAGGCTTCAGGGTCATGAGTGGTGAGGAAGTCTCGGGCGGAAAGCCTGGCCTGCCATAGAAACTGGCCTCGGGGTGCGACAAGGACAAATAATCTATGAGGAAAAGGAATAGAGAAGAGGAGGAGGAGGAGGAGGAGGAGGAGGATGTGGGTGGG